CCATAGAAAATATATTTCCTCAACAATGACTGTCTAAAAATCTGTACCATTATTAAGATCTTATACCATTTGCAATCTTCTCTCCAATTTCACATGTAATCATAATGTAACATAATGTAATCATGTTTCTGACTGAACATAAAGCAAGAAAAGCAATTCCTCTTTCTAATAAATGGAACCTGATGATCAACAGGGATACTTTAAGTTCTAGTTTTTCACCTCCTAGTCAGTCAGTGGAAAATTGTTTATAAGAAAGAAACCAGTGTTTATAAGAAAGAAGACTCACAGAAGTACATGTGTATTTTAAAGATACAAATTACAAAAATTAAGAAGAAACAAACATTGAATAAAATATTAAAAATTACTTAGTTAATAGACTTCTGATATAGCCCAAAAAGTTGCAAAGGCTGAAATCTAACAAATACTAAAAAGAAAGACTGAAATAAAGGGTCACAAGCATCAATCAAGATGTGCTTAGAATGTGAGCCCTGAGCACAAAAATATATGGGCACTGATTGTAAGGCCCAGGTACAGTCAGGGTTATGGGCTAAAGAAAACTTTTATAGAACCATAAATGTAAGTAAAAATATCTCCATGGGAACAAGAAAATGGATATAAATAAAACCACAAAGAACAGAAGGTTGAAAACTTTAATAAGAAAACAAAAGGCAGAGAACAAGGAAGTGATGTTTAAAAAAGAACAGGGTATCTACTTGAAAACAGGAGTCAAACACAAAAAAGAATTATAAACTTTCATTAATTTTACCTGTAAAAAAGTCAGCAGAAGATCGGATAGATTTGTTTTCATAAGAACAGAAAGTCAAGATAGCAAATGAAATCATGCTCTTCAGAATGCAGGCTCCTAGGGCAAATGGTTTTTAACACTCTGAAATACCATATTTTATTCTACAGTAACAGACAGCTTCCAACAGTAGTAATAAAGCAAGGAGGAAGAGAGTAGACTAGGGTAAAAGAATAAGAAATGTGAACATTTCAACTGACATTGTCTATCTCTCATTCCACTGTGCTAAAATAAATACTATTGCTCATTTCATTTATCTTCAAGAAAATCAATGAAGAACTATAAAACAGTTCTGAGTGTTTCCAATAGCATGCACATTACATCCTTGCTACATGAGCTGCATTGATTACCAATTTGTTTCTGGGTCCAACCAGAGTGGTTGGTGTTGACTTTTAAAGCCCTACATGACATTGGACTGGGTTATTTGAGGGACCACCTCTTCCCAATTTCATCATCTTGTCCCTCCAAATCTAATGAAATGTGTATGTTATGGGTTTCACATCTAGGGAGTGAAATTATTTGATGAAAAACATCAATTTATACAATCTGAATTTATATAATCTCAAAATTTATATATGATAGAAATTTATATAATCTCAAAAAAGACTTCAAGAACAAGTACAATACAGATAATACTAAAATTGTTACAAAATTCAATTTTGCATCATAGTCAAAAATAATTATCTGTATTTTTAATAAATTCTTATGGAAAAACATTGAAAAGCAATTCCAAGTTAGCAACATTTTCTCATTGCAGATACTATTGAGTTTGTTATTGCTGTTTCCTTGTTCTACTGTAGTAGATAAGAATTTGTTTCCACATCTGTAACTTGATTTCAACAAGCTGTGGAATGAGATTGAGAGAATAAGCAGCAAACTAGAAGCCTGATAGGCTTCAGGTCAATGATTACTTTCCTCTCTGCTTGGTATTTTAGACAAGAGATTTTCAAAATTTACTGCCAGAACCCCCTGATTTAGAGACAAAGCTCTAGTGAGAGAAAATTGGCTGTGCTAAAGTGAACTTTTTTTTTGTCCTTAGTCTCTCATCAACTTCTCTCAGAACACTAGGATTTCATAAAACAGTTTGAAAAGCTGGCGGACAATGGATTCCACAGTACATCAACGGAATGAATGTTGCTCCCAAAGTGAACAGTGAGCTAAGGGTAGGAATGAAGAGACTCCTGAAATTCAGCATGGCAAAGCTGGCTATTAAGAAAATAGTAAAGGGGTAAAATGGCTAACTGATAAATGAAATGCACCACATCACTTGCCAGTGAGTCCTACACAAACCTTTCAGGAAGACAAAACCTATAGTCTTCAATTGCTAGCTAGCTAGCTATAAGGAAATGTTTTGTAGAACATAACTGAAGTTTAAATCCTGAGAACTTCTTGTTCTGTCATAACTGTTTTTTTTTTAAAAAAAAACCAAGCAAGGACATTTTCTTTGCTTTCCAATCATAGGCTCAAATGCATTTCCTGACTCCCAATCCTACAACTTTATTCAATGATCAACCAGAGATAGATACCGTAAAGTACATGTCTGTGTCTTCTCTCATTTACCAAGGCTTGTTTCTGATTAGCAATCTATTTGGGAGAGTATTTTCCCTCCTCAACTAAGTATCATACCTCTCCTCTGAGAGAGAAGACTTTTTCTCGTTCTCTGAATGCCCCCTGCAAAAAAAAAAACTATGCCCAAGTTCTATTAAATAATTTATTTTGCCTTACTTATCATGAAAAAGTTGTTCTTATGATTTGAATAGTAGTAAGTACTAGTGGGAATAGTAGTAAGATCATTGATACCCATAACAAGGGAAGGAATTAAAGGGGACATTATGTTAGCAGTTGTATGGGTTGTGATGCAAGAAGATGCATTATGAGCATGTCCACATTGTTGCAAGTTAAGTGCTTCTTCCATATATGGAGAGCAAAATATCATTTATTAGTACAGCTATAAGGTTTTAACAATATTTCCATAAATTTTCTCCAAGTCACTGTCTATATGGCTTTTACTTTTTAATTGTTTTAATGTTTTTGTAATGTTTTGTATAATTGTTCAATTTTTTTTTGCATTAATTGTAAGCTGCCCAGAGTCATGAACGGGAGATAGCAGTTGTATAAATTGAACATACAAATAAATATATTTACATTTAGTGCCCTTCTGGGGTTCTCAATGGTGTGCTTTATCTTTCTATACTACTCAATAGAGGACATAGGAGCTATATTGATAGCATATCACCCCCAGCAATATGGAATGCAGACACCATAAAAGAACAAGAATGCAGAAAAAACCATTTTTCTTCTCTTGATGCATCAATAAGATTAAATACCATTGGACATGCCACTTACTAATTATCTTATCTATACACATTATGTATCCTCAGGGGAGTGACCTGTGTAATTGGCTTTCACATCACACATACATAATGAGTTCTTCAGAACAAGATGTACAATTGAGGTTCCACAGCTCAAGGAGTCTAGGAAAATGGGGTTTCTGAAGCTTAAAAGCCACTATTGTAAATTTGAAAATTTCTCTAATAATATATAAATATATAAACTCTTATTTCCTTTTATGTTCAAGCTGAATTTAAGTATCACTTGTAAAAACTCAAATTACAACAAATATAGCAAAATACAAAACAGGTATACAAAAACTACTTCAAATTATTGAATGCCATACAAGATTGCAAATCACGCTGTGATATTTAGCTGAATAAATATTATTTGCCACTTCCAGACCAGATGCAAGATACAACATAAATCATATGGTGAAAATGGCCTATTTGTGCTTTCTATAAAAATCACATGGACTTCCAACCATAGTAAAGTTGTACATGACCCTAGAATGTAATATTGCACAATATAATATTTCATTGTGTCTATCACATCACCATAAGAGAAAAAGAGTGACAGGAGAAACCTTCTTACCTTGCTATACCAATAAGGTCCAAAAGCATTGGTTCTCCCACCTTCCTAATTGCACAGCCTCCCAGTTAGAGATGCTAGCTTTTTGTCTTCTGTTCTCATTAATATCAATAAAAGTCATAATGAAACAGGTTGTTAACCTGAGAAGAGTAGACACATCATTGCAATTCATCCAAAGAATACAAAAAGAAATCATGATAAAATGACTATCACAAAACTAGAAAAAAAAGGAACATCTGGGGCACTTTCTGGGCTACACGATAGGAAAACTTTATAATTGCACTTTGTGGCATACATCTTACCAACACTATGAATATACTTGAAGCATTTTAAATGGGACCATATGACAGAAAACACTGTTTCAGATATTAATGAGGAGATAGGCCAACAAAAATATTTCAATTTTATTGTGACTACAAAAATTAACAAACAGGGAAAGTAATATTGTACTCATGAAGCAAGGATCTCATGTGAAGTACATTCAGACTGCAAACAAAGCACCGTTAGAAAGGACTAAAAAGCATCCCATGAGTGCAACCATTAACAAATATAACCCCAAAGGGTCATAACCCTGTACAGTACCATATGCTACTAACATAAAAACACTCTTCCTAACAATTATCAGTATATGCACCTGGAAAGTAAACCAAAGCAAGTTATACTTCTGAGAAATACTACACACATTTCATAACCTGAAGGGGTAGCCATGTTGTATGTCCTCTGACACTTAAATTGAACATCAACTCATTTATGGGGAACAAGCACTTTTCTATACCGAACGAAACCCTCTTTATGAAATGCACGAAGCCGTTTCTTAAATATTAATCAGTGAAAATGAAGGGGGGGGGAGGGAATAGCGATTTGAGCCAACACAACACGCTTCACTGCAAGGGGTTTCTATTGTCACCTATCTGCTTAAACTGGAATCCCCATCTATTAGCATCAGATACTGAAGGCGGCACAAGAAGGGGAAGGCTGCTGCTGCTGCTGCTGCTGCTACCTGCTTGGGCGCTTCCCAAGGAGTTCTAGCCGGCCAGCAGATGAAGCAAACCTTTGTCTACTGTCGGAAAAAAAATAAGTTGGGAAAAATAAGGCGAGGGGAAGCAACCCCAGCCCTGCTTCATGACACCCCCCCCACCCCATTTCCAGCCTCCGCTTTTGTGCCACACCCACCCGCCTCCAGCATCTGCCGCAACCCACTCCCTCCTTTTCCCTCCCTCCCTCCCGCCCGCCCTTCCTTCCTCTCCTGCCCTCCCCAGCCCTCTTCCCACCTTACCGTGCTGGGTGAAGATATTGAAGCCGCTGTCGGCAGCTCGCGGAGCGGCCGTTTCTCGCCTCCGGCTGGCAGGCCTACTCCCGCTGCTATTACTCCCACGAAGCCCTCTGGGTTGAGACTGTGGCTGGGAAAGAGGCAGCAGCTGCTGCTGCTGCTGCTGCTGCTGCTGTTGCGGCGGCGGCGGCGGCGGCTGATGTTGAAGCGCAGCGGCACCCGGCTCGCCGACGCGGCCCACCTGCTGGCCCATCCCCGCTCTCCTCCCGTTCTGGGCCCCCGCCAGAGCCCTCCGTCTCCTCCTCCTGCTCACATTCCGCCCCCTACCCCGCTTTAGGAGCCGCACCCGGCGCTTCCCACAGCCGCTCTGCCTCCTTCCCCCTCCTCGCCGCCGTTCTCCGGACAGGCCGTCACGGACTCGCCCCCTCAACCCCCGCAGCCGCCATCTTAACCACCGAGCTTGGGGAAAAGGACAGAAGGACTCCCTCTCTCCCACTCTTCCCACCTCCGGTCTTCCAGGGACGTCGGTAGCTCCTCCTGGCCCCGCCTCGCCTCCGCCTGCAGCACCGCCCCGAATCGCGGGTCGTCGAGGCTGGCCCCGCTCATTCCTCGCACGCCTCGGATCCTTTCTTTGGCAGCTTGCTGGGAAAGCCGAGAAACGGTATTTAAACAAATGCACCAGAAGGTTCGGATGAAACAGATAAATGCTCTCAGGTTATTCTCAGTTCGTAATAATATCCCACGGTAAATATACTAACATCGTTTTTTATTGCGCTCTCTCAAATGTAGGATCGCGAAGTACATTTCAATTAATGACTGCATTTGCACAATCAAGTGCAATAATGAATTGTATGCTGATGGGAACCTGTCCAGGGCACAGAAACATTGCAGTTAAGAGGAAATGTCTTAATTTCATTTCGATGGAAAGATTTAGTCAAAACTGGTATAGTTAATAGTGGTTTTTAAGAAAAGAACGGAATGGAAATGCATAGGAGATGGAATGAAATGAAAAAGCTTTTCTCTCTCTCTCTTTTTGTTCTACTAAATAGTCTCACTTATCAGCCACAATTGGGACTGGCAACTTGGTTGCTAAGCACTGCAGTCACAAAGTGGAAAGCTGACGGATGGATTTAAAATCTTATTTCCCATTCCATCATTAAGCAAAACATTATATGGCCACAACTTTTGATTTTTCTTCCACCCTCTGCATTAATTCTGCTTGTCCAAAATTGGTGTGTCCCCCCCCCCCGCCCCCACCCCAAAGGCAATCTCATGACCATGGAACACTGTAATGGTTGTAAATATGATTGGTTGCAATAGTTTTTTTAAAACAGTCATATTATGAGCAGTCGTTAAATAATATATAACAAAGAAATGGTGAAACTAGAAAACTATTTTTAATTCTAGGATTATATAAAAAACACCCTAGTGTTTCCCCACACTTTTAAGTACAGATGGTTATTTTAGTTTTGGTATTTTGAGAAAATGAAATCTGGTCATCTGCTAAAAGATAAATTGATGATGACAAAATACCTCTGACTCATGTCTCATGATGGTTTATAACAGGAGTGTCAAACTCGATTTCATTGAGGGCCACATCAGGGTTTTGTTTGATCTTGGGGGGCCAGGTTGACTGTGGCTAGGGTGGGCGTGGCCAGCTCGATGTCATTCATGTAGGGGGTGCCTATGGTGGTCCAAGCTCTCTTCCCAAGCTCTGTTTTGGCTGTGAAATCGGAGTTTGGAAATGCCGCTCATGGCGCTCACAAGTTCCATTTTTGGCTGCAATGGCTTCCTGCAACACTCTGCCAGCAAAAACAGTGCGGGCGGGCCGCACACACTCCCAAGCTCCGTTTTCACTGGCAGAGGCACTGCGAGCTGGTCCTTTGCTGTTTCTAGGATGCCTGCGGGCCAGATCTAAGTACCCCGCAGGCCGGATCCAGGCCCTGGGCCTTAAGTTTGACACCCTTGGTTTATAATAAAAAATTAGTACAAGAATATTAAAATAATAAGAATTAAACAATCATTAAAATCACAAATCTTTTTTTAAATGTTTGATACCAACAAGAGGGACAGTTTTCTTAGTTCTGGAATGCATTTCAATGAATGCTGATGATTCTTGAGAACATTCAGCTTTAAGTCACTGGTCTGAAGTTGGAACACCATCAACACGATGATAAAAACTATCTGCCCCGCCCCCCCACCATGGGGGAAAAAGCTGCCAAAAATGGATATAAGGTGACATCATTGGCCTGATACAAGAAAAAATGCAGTTAAACTTGCAAATCCAACCAAGGTGAAAGAGCTGACAAAACTAATTCACAAAATGCTGAAAAGTGTAAAGGAGATATTTTAGGATTGGTGGAGGCATCAGAAGGGTGTGGTGGTTAATGAACACTCTATTCAACCTTGGAAGCAGTTTCAGGGAAGCAGAGCTGCCCCAGCTCAGTCATCACTATTGCAATAAGTTGAGTTGCTGAAACAGCAACCAAAGTGGTACAACATTGGATACACCATTTTGATTTACTTTTAAATTGTTACCCACCAGCAGTGTTAGAACAGGAACTAGATAATCCAGAACCACCTCCTAATATTGTACTGTATGTGAAGCTAAGCCAAGCGAAACAGATGTTTCTGCAGCAAAAACAAAGCTGCAGGACAGACCAAGTCATTGTGAGGTTGCTGAAGCCTGGGGGAGAAGGTGGCTATAGTAGTTGATTATATTCATATGTTGTTCTTAGTGATATGGAAAGCAGAATTGACATTGCTACTGTACCCATGTTTAAAAAGTGTGACACTAAGTCAGCATGAAAACTATCGCAGAATCAGCCCCTGTCTGTACAGCAATTAGAAATGTCCCTGTGCAGATTATCAAGCATATCTAGAGCCAGTGATAGAATTCTCCACCCAGAAAGATCAATGTGGCTTTAGACTGGGTCATAGTGGTGTGGATCAGATTTTCACTGTAAGGCAAATAATTTAATGTAAAGGTTAAGGAAAGCAAACTATTGCTGTCTTGATTGATTTCAAGAGTGCCTCTGACAGCGTTCACCAGAGGCCAGTATAGAAAGTTCTTTGTGATCAGCATTCCTAGCAAAATCCTACAAGTTCATTTTGCCTTTTATGATGGTACAGTTAAAGTACATGATGACAAAATCAGTCCCTTTGCAGGCAAAGCACAACTGAGAAAATAGTTTATGCCATGATCCTTATTGTTCAGTGTGCTATTACATTGAATAATGGAGAAAAGTAGGGGAATGTTGTGTGAAGAAGTTGATAATTGTAATTTAGATAACACTGTTTTCATAAAGAAATCAGAACTAAAAGCAAAACAGGAAATTGGATTGTGGATAAATGTAAAAGGGTTCAAGGCCATGTCGACTAATGGTACATGAATTAAACTTCTGTTTAGTGGTGAGCCAGCTAAGCAGGTTGATGAGTTCAAGTTCTTAGGTTCTTTGACTCCTACATCTATAGTTGTGACATCTACTAATAGTGATTCAAGAGGTAGTAGTACTCAAGCAACTTTCACCAGCATATGATTCTTCTTCTTCTGGAAGAAGAAAAATATTAGCCTGAAAATGAACCTTTGAGTATTCAATACAGCCATCATGCCAGAAGCTGGAGCTGTTTCAGATACATACCAACAAGTTAGCAAGTACAAATTCACACACATTTCTCTCCCTCCCACAGAAATAATAGAAAGAAAAAAAGGCTATATGTTAATACATTGGGAAGAAAAAGAGAGAACCCCAGGTTAGGGATTCACTAAGGGTTGACTTACCAAGTAAACAGCTTCTCCAAGTTACCAGTTAACCTTCAGAGGCATCTAGGCTGTATAACTGCGATTTCTGCATCTGTTGCATTCTTATTTATTCTTTTATTTTCAGCAGTTTCTGTTCTTATCAGCAAATGTAAAATGAGGGCATTATCCCCCAACAGGTAATTATTTAAGGGGGGGGGGACTAAAGTAAACAGTATTATTTATTAATTATTTAACTTGATTTCTATGTTAAATTAACCAATTTCTAAGGCTTTTATCTGATGAAAGGGAGCTGCAGCTCAAGAAAGCTTATATCCGATTTTTGTTCTGATTTTAAGTGTCTCAGCAGAATATAATAAAAAAATTAAAAAGTAATAAATCAATTTTTTTCACGGTCATACTCCAGAACAGATGTGTGTGTGTGTGTGTGTGTTTGTGAACACAAAAACTCTGTCAGAAAAGAGGAACCAACTTCTTCCCTAGTCCAACACCTTAAAGCCACAGGACATGAAATTGATTTTAAAAAAACCAGAACTATCGCCAAAACTGAACACTTTAACAACAGAATAATCAGAGAAGTCATCGAGATAGAAAAACGTCCCCACAACATGAATAAGATGATACCTCCCGCCTACCAGCCATTTGGAAACCTGCCCTTATTGACAAACGAACCCCAAACACAAAGAATAACACCAGACCCACACTCATGAAAACCACACAGGATGTCACCTCCACACATCCACGCAAAAAGCAAGCCCAAACCCATACCGATGATGAGGTTTGACCACAAACCAGAAGCCAGACCAAAGCTGCATCATTAACCACTTTAAACTCCTCCAATCCATACATGAAGCAAACTGACACACTCCATGAAGATGTGGCACGACCACGAATGCAGAGCCAAACAAAAGCAACGCAGGCCACGAGTTCAAATCCTCCTGCAACTCAGACCAACCTGAGCACAGCCAAGCCCCCACCCTATCAGAACACACCCCCAGCCAATCAGAGCACAGCCAACCCCCACCCAATCAGAACACAGCCATGCTCCCACCCAATCAGTTCATTGCTCCTAGAAGCACAGGACCGAAGACACCAGCCTGAAGATGACGAATGAGACTTTGTCGAAACGTCGCCAAGGTACTTCCAATTTTACGTGGAAAAAACCCAATAACTGAAGATGACAGGGTTGTGAGCCTGTCGAAATGTTGCTTTAAGAAAAACTTTTAAAGTCACTGGTAGGATTTTAGCTGAGGTTTTAAAGGACCTTGCAGAGTGCTCTGTAAGGATTTTTAGAAGATTTTAAGCTGGGATTTTAACCAGGATTTTAAATATTTTAACCAACTTATTTACAATGACGCGGGAAAACACCGAGATTTTAATTTTTTCCATATATATATATATATATATATAGCAAGTCCCAAAGGTGCTTTTTCCAAAAAGCACCTGGACTTACTTGTCCAATTGCCTTTTGGAAAAAGCACCTTTGGGACAACCATGCCTGAATGATGGAGAATCTCCATAGACAATTAAATAGCAAGGAAAACAAACAAGAAGAAAGCAAGTAGCAAGAGCCCTGGTAGCCCAGCAGACTAAAGCACTGCTATTAACATCAGCTGCCTGCAATTACTGCAAGTTCAAATCTCACCAGGCTCAAGGTTGACTCAGCCTTCCATCCTTTCTAAGGTAGGTAAAATGAGGACCCAGATTGTGGGGGCAATAAAC